CATACCCACATAATTCATAGGAAAGGCCTTAGATTAGAACATATTTACTTGTATTTTAAAATTCTTACAAGTATCTGTAACACAGTTCAGAACCTTAACAAAAAGTAAAACATTTTCCAGGCTTCATAGCTTTCAGAAAGTGCATATTAATTCATAGCAAAGGTCACAGGATCTCTCTCATGCATGTTATTTTTTATTTTAGACAAAACTCCTATGAACTTGGTTGTCTGGATTCTTAACCTGCAGTGAATTACAAAGGAAAGTGAAGAACTGGCTGAGGCAGGGACATTACCAACCAACCTGACAGTAAGATCGGGTGGCAGAAAAGGTATAAGAAACAAAGTTTTGAAAAACAGCAAACTGGGGTCATTTAGTGAAGTGGTAAACACTCTTCATTAGTTCCTAGAGACATCAATATATTTGGGTCCAATATAATAGATGAGTTTCATAATGATGTCCATGAATTATTAGGAAAACATTTAAAAATACTAAGTATCTTGCTTTAAAAATAGAGAAATATATGTTTTAGAACTGTTTCTATTTACAATGGTTAAAATGGAGTAAGTTTTAGTGTTTAAAAAGATAAGCTTTGATTATATGGGTAATACATTTGTGTGGACATTTCATTTATTTCCCAATAATGTAGGATAAAGTGAGGCATATCAAAACAAAGTAACTCAAAACCATGGAACTAATCAATTTATGATTCATCAGAATAAATGTAGTGAATTTAAAAATCACCATCAATTCCTTTATTTTCTAGATTATATTCTTCTAAAGTTCCCTTTTCTCTTATACTTGAATATGCCATAAAATCGTGAACTTTTCCTTTGAGAACATCCAGTTCATTTTGCATCTTTAATATGCTATTATCATATTGAATTCCTTCAAGGATTTTCTGCATCTCCATTATTTCAGACACTGTTCTCAGCATATCATCTTCCATATTAAACATCTGCATAGTCAAGTCTTCCATTTTCTTTTCTGTTCCTATCAGATCCTGAGAGACTTTGAGAACAGACCGAATAGCACTTTCAATTGTTGGTAAATGTGTCTTGCATTCTTCAACTTTGGGCTCATAGTTGGAAAGTTTATTAGTCAGATCTTCATCTCTGGCAAAGAGAGCATGCTGTTCCTCTTCTAACTTTTCAACTGTTTTTGTATCAGATCCAAGCTGCTCCTCTACTCGCAGGAGATCTTCTTCTTCTTGTCTTTTTACTGTTCTAATATTTCTTAGTGTGCTATCTTCCAAATCTTTTAGCCGCTCAGTAAGCAATTTGATTCCTTGCTCAGCTGAATTAATTTGGACAGTAACTTGAGAATGTATATGCTTTGCTTCTGATTTGAAAGTGTCTGTATTAACATTCATTTCTTTTAGGCCTCTCTTCCAGAAATCAGTAATATTCTGGAATTTCTCATTAAGGTTTTGCATCTTTTGAGTGAGCATCTCTTCACTATTTTGAATGTCATGAATGATACTTTGGAGGCTGGATACTTCCTGTTCAAACTGGGTCATCAAAGACATGGATGATGTAGCTTCCTGCAGGATACTTTCAGTAGACTCAAGCTGCATTTATAACACAAAACAATTCCCAAGGCTACTTAATAATTTTTGTATTAGAGAAACACACTTTAATAATCAGGAGCATAATACACGCCAAGTTCAAATTCTGAAGATGTCTAAAATATCCAAGTGTATCAGAATCATACTGACAAAAATATTTACTACTTCAATAGCTGTTTTCACAAATTTAACAGAGTAGCCCTATGTCAGAAAAATATACACCTGAACATATAATCCTAGCTTGAGCATTTTCATGGAGGCACATTTGAGAGAAAAATTATGTTAAAGAAGCTTGAAGTATATCACAATTTTCTTTTTTACTCCAATGGAAAGTAACTTAGATGTCATTTTTATGGTTACTTGGCTTTTTAGAAACTGCAACTCAGTATAAAATTTGTTATCTTTCTTAAATCCTATGATTCTGAAAGAGTATCTGCCTGAAAAAAATTTTTTGACCAACTTCTTACAGAGAAGATACTAGAATCAGATCCTGCAGATACAAAGGCAAAAATGAATAAAACCTCCCCTTCGTTTATTGTGATAAATCAAATCAAATGGTAAAGTGTTCTAAGTGTTCTAAATATCTGTAAATTATGGTAGGCCCCTGATACCTCCTAATATGTATCTGAAATATAGAAAGGTCATGTCATGGACCTCTTTTAGTCTACACTCAAATACAGAAAACAGCTTTAGAGACTATGGGAAGATCTAGAAATGATCATTAATTTATCAAATGTTTCTAGTGTTGTGTTGAAGATATAATACTGAACAAGACACAATTCTGCCCGTAAACTGCTTAGTTTAATTGGGGAGAAATACAAATTTGTATGTCCTACGACCAGGGAAAAGCTATAGAAGGACCTGGGTGGAGACCCAACCCAGACTTCAATGATCAAGGAAAGTATTCTAGAAATATTATCTAATATCTGCTTCCAGCCACTTCCTCTCTGAATCATCCTACACACTACCACCAGATTAAGCTTTTAAAAATTGCTATGCCTATCATGGTATACTGTTAAAAAATCTTTGATGTTTCCTAATACTTTTAGGATAAAGTCCCCAATTCTATAACCTCTCCCTACGCTATTCTCTCCTCTTTACTTAGCTAAGTTCTGTCCTTACTTCAATGCTCAAACTGGATCTTAGCTCCTCAGCACAGCATTCTTCCATAGCCCTAGCTCTGACAGCCTTAACTCCTGTAGCACCTATTATGTATTTGCCACATATTTGGCACTTAGCACATATAATTCAAAAATTTTGAGTGTTTACTCTGTGCTAGACCTTGTGCTAGACACTGGATATAAAATATAAATATAACATAGTCCCTCATTTCCCAGGGGAGATAGTGTTTTGGATCTTCTACAACATACATTCTAGAGTCCCAATAAAATCTATTGAGTGTCCACTGTGAGCTAGTTCCATTATTAGGTGCTAGGGAAATAGAGATAAAAAATGCAGTGTTTGCTCTAATGAGAAGTAAGGGGGACTAACAACAAACAAAATCACGAATAGATTACGATTAGTATCACGACACAATTAGTACAGGGGGCAGTGGATGCTTGGAGGAGAGATATGAAGTCAGGAGGGCGATGAGGAAAGACTTAGAAGTGACTCTGAAATCTGACTTATTAACAGTCTGATGAATTATCCAGGTGATGAAGATGTGAAAGTTTCTAAATTCCTTAGGGAAGAGACCATGTCTTTTGCCTTTTTGTAGCCCCCACATTTCAGAGTACAAAGAATTCGTTTGTTGATGTTTAGGAAGAAGAATGGCTTTAATTTCTGGGCCCACTGCAATGAAGACTTAAAGCAGTTCCAGGTGACAGGTGGGAACAGTGTGTAACAGTACTAATATAACACCACCCTGAAATGCTGTTTAAAAATTATTTTTAATGTACACATGTAGCTATATAAGCTCTTTTAAAAATTAATTCTGAGAAATACTTGTTCATTGGTAATACAGTTAGGTTGTTTTACTAGCAGTATTTTGAATTTTTATTTTTAATTATTATGGGTACATAATAGGTATATATCTTTATAGGGTACACGTGATGTTTTGACACAGGTATACAATGTGAATTAATCAAATCAGGGTAACTGGGGTATCCATCACCTCAGGCATTTATCATTTCCTTGTGTTAGGAACATTTCAATTCCACTCTTTTACTTATTTTAAAGTGTACTCTAACTTATTATTGATTATAGTCACTTTGTTGACTAGCAGTATTTTGAAGAGGCAAACTTATCTTCACCTAAGGTAGTTTCTTATTTAGGCTGTTCACCAGAACATCCCTGTAATCTGAAGACAGTTCACTTCAGGTAGTATAAGATCAACTTTTCAGGATAATAAATCTCAAGATTTATTCTGCAAATATTTGGTATACCACGGCCACTAGCATTTATGGGCTGCTAATATATTCTAATAGTTTTTCATTTTCTTAAAAAAGAGCTAATACCTTGAATTTATTAGTCCTTGAGTGTTTGCAAAGAATTTGTATACATACTAAATCCTTACTTAACATCATTGGTAGGTTCCTGGAAACTACAACTTTATGCTAAATGACAAATAATAAAACCAATTTTTTTTGCATTAATGTTATAATGAAAGGACATTGATCAAAATGACGTTGTTAAGGGCCTGCTGTTTGTCATTCCACTCAAGTTAGTTTCTAAGTACCTGCTGACAACATTAAGTAAGGACTTATTGTATATCTTATCTGATCCTTATAAAAATCTTATTTCTTATTTAATAAATGATGAAATAGAGGCCAAAAGAGGTTAAAGTGATTTGCCCAAGGTCACACAGTTGTGATGAGAGCCCACATCTAGCTACTTTTCCCTCCTATGGCATTATGCTGGCCTCGAAGGCCAGTATTGTGAAAGGCCGTGCTTATTAAATTACTCTCAGGGCAAACTAGGAGAGAAACAGCTATGAAAAGATTGAATATTTTTTGGATTCTACGATAATATTTTAAAATTTGCTTCAAAGGCATTTTAATTGCCAAGAAAATTTTTCATTTAAAAAGAAAATCTAACTTTGTTCTAAATTTGTTTTTCAATAGCTTTTTATTGAACATATGTTTTGAGCTCCTAGAATTTTTTCTATCAGTGTGTTAGAGCGCCCCCAACAACTACAACCAGATTCCAACTTGAGTCCTATGTCAAACTACCAACTCCTCTGCATCTCCTTCCCAGAAGCCCCTAAACTCACCCTCCATGGAATCCCCTTGCATGTGTGAGGGATGCTAATTTTCATCCATGGCTTTTCTTTTCTGGGGGATTATATGCTCATCCTGTGCATGAGGTTGCAGGGACTTAGACCCTCCTTTTCATCTCTAGTTTTATAACATCCTTGCCACCCTGGTGCCAAGCACAAATCCTTGTCCACTTTATGACATGAGTAATGGTTTAGTGAATGAATAAATGAAATGATTACCTTTTCTGAAATTAAAGTGATTTTACTTTGAAGTCCTTGGAACTCACTGGTTTTTACTTTCAGTAACTGGTATTGGTTTTCCACCTTTGCAAACTTTTCTGACTGCTGAAATACAAACCTGGAAAAGAAAAAAAAAATCACTAATGCCTAATTCATAGTCATTTAAACCTGAATTTCAGGGGAGTATTATCCCCACTTCTGGTAAGAACAACATAAATTCAGGTACAGGTAGCTACAGCTTTTGTTATTTTGCTTCAACAAACATTCAGGTAGTCTACAATGTGGTAGGTTATCAGTTTAGCTCATGCAAAGATGAGTAAAACACTCTCCTTGTCCACAGTTCACAGCCCAGCGAGATGGTGTTATATCTGTGATAGATGCATGCACAAGAAATATTTTAGAGGAAGACATGGTGAACAATTTAATTTAGAATGAGATCTCTGATCTCTACTATTTTTCTGGAGGTCATATTTGGGCAATATAAGAAAAGTGTTTTTATGTTGAAATATAGGAGAAATAAGAGTTACCTTTAAAAGTATCTTAAAACTAAAATGTAGAAAAGTAGACTAATGAAAAGCAGTGAGGTGGGAGGAAGAGAGAGATAGTGACTAGAAGTTGCAAAATAACAGCAGGATTATTAAAAAAAGGTATGAAAACAAGAAAGTCACTGTCAAAGTGACAACAGGACACATGCAATGCAAGGTGTATAAACTCAATTGGTTAGACTCAACAATACAACTCATATAGGTATACTTTAGATGTCATTCCAAAATTGGAGTTTATTCTTCATCTGGTAAACAGTAAAGAGTACAAGTATAAAAAAGCTGCCCCAATCTTTAAAACAATAAATCAACATCTGTTTGTACAGGATTTTAAATGACTAAGTACAAAAGAAATGCCTCGGATCTAATACCATTTTGTGTATCTACTTTAACTCAATTCTTCAGGCTCAGAAAAAAACAGCAGTTGAAATTCTTTGTACATTGAATCATCAAAAAGCCCACTGGAGCAGAACCATGACAAGTGCCTGCCTAAATCACGGTACCTAGACCAGTAGTTCAAAAGTTTCACTGCATATTGTAATCACCTCGCAGCTTTAACAAAGTCTATGCCTGGGTCCCATCCACAAAGATTCTGACTTACATGGTCTGGGATGTGGCTTGGATATTGGAAATTGTAACAGGTTCCCAAGTAATCTGAGTAAACAACCAAGCTGGGAACCATTAACTGACCAGGTTTTGCACAATTCATTTCCACAGAAAGACAAATATCTAAAGATCCCAAAGTTTAATGGAGAGTTGAAAGACTTTTCTAAGTGCAGCTATCTGAGCTTTGTGTACATTTGCAAAAGTGGTGATGTTTTGAACTCATAAATGGCATCATTAGGCTGTTGCTGAAAAACTGTCCAAAGCTAAGATAGATTTTTTTGCTTTTTAATCAAATACTTACAATGTTAGATGAAATATTGGTTTCATGATGCTGGTTAATGTCTATCATATGAGATACTTATAATTCCAGGTTACATAATTAGTCCAGATTGACTTTTCTCCTGTGTGCTAATAGGAACTTTTAAAACTTCTGGTTATTAGGAAACACTATTATCCTAATTTTCAAAGATGGATGGGTAAACATAATTCTTTTTTCATTTTTGGCTTTTAAGATTTTTTTTTTCAGAGTATAGACATATCTGAGACCAGCAGATAAGAGAACAAAGAGAGAGAGCTGCCTAAAAAAAAGAGTTAATTTCAGGGACTAGTTTTATCATCCAGTACTCCATAGTGTTACATCATGAATTTATACTATAGATCATCAAGTTTATTCCAAATGACATTGTTATTATAAAAGAGACTTCTGTGTGAAAGTTGATCCACTACAAAAAACACATTACAGGACTTTTGATTTTATTAAATATTTTTAATGTTGCCTATCTCAGGGCTTCTCTTCAAATGCAAGCATTACACAAAAGCTTGAAGAAAATTGTCATGTTAGTGGAAGTATCATCTCAGATTTTTTTTGTTTAGCCTCTCACTAAAACAAAAAAAATAAAAGAGTGACCCTTCCTACATATGAATAGAGCATATAGAAAAAATAAGCACAAAGTTGACAGCACTAGTGATAAACAAAAAAAAATGAAGTGGTCTATATGGTGCTGAAGAGTTAAAATACATTTTATTTTTCACTCATGTGCCAGACATTATTCTAAGAGCTTTATAAATATTAATTCATTTAAGGAAGAGGATGGTTGAAAACTAAGTTTTCACATTAGCATCCATGTTAGTGCCTAAGGTGCATTTCCTTTTTATGAGTCAGAGGCATATTCCAACAGGAGCAGTTCCCAGTATTCCCCTTTAGATGAAGGTAAAAGACAAAAGAGTCCGCTAAGGGGTACAGCTTCTAGTAGGAGCAAGAAAAGAACTATAAGAAAAGGACTAGGGGTTCCTATATTTAGAGTCTTGGCCTTCTTTTTGGGGTTAATATCGAAGGGAGGCAACATATCATACTGTTTAAGTCGGTAGTTGGACTACCTTGGCTCTGTCATTTATTAGCTGTATAACCACCCTTGGGCAAGTTAAATAACTTATCTTTGCTGTTGTTTCCTCATCTGTAAAGGTAGGATAACAATACTTACTTTATAGCATTGTTGATGAGATTAAATAGGTTCCAATTTATAAAAGCTCTGAGGACAAAACACTTTAGCTATTCTCTTTAAGTACCTTGGCCCTTTCTTTTGGACTACTTTGTGCAGCTGCTCTTCCACTCCTCCTACATACCTATGGTTGTATAAAGCAGCAGAGTTCCCTTCTACTTGCACTTGATAGAAACCCCAGGCTTGTTCCTCTTTGAACACTAAGCATAACCCAGGTTGGTTTTATAGCAAATGGATAGACTAGATGGACTAGACCATTTATAACTCACTAAAGGAAAAAGACTCTCTTACCCTGTTTTGGGGCCTCTTTTAATTATCACATTGGTAAGACCCCGTGAAAGTGTTAGATATAGGAGAAAGGGATCCAGACTACTTTTCATGTTAGGCTTTACGAAAGGAATCTTCCTGACTCCTTCATAATCCACTGCAGTCTGTAGAAACTTCATATAGACTGAGGGCCCTGCAGTAATGAATGATGTACCTTTCCCTGGAATGCACCTCCCAAGTTCCGAGGCCACTATCAGGGTCAGTTCCCATTTAGCCTATGTTTCATATCATCTACAGCCTCATTTTTAGCACAATAACTAATGTTCAGGAAAATATTGACCATATTCCATTTTTAAAAAGCAAGGCATTTAAAGTATAACCCTATCTTTTAGATAAAATTCTACTAACAGAAAGAAAGAAAGAAAGAAAGAAGCTAGAAATGGAGTTAGCCAAGATTTTACAGCATAGCTGATTTATAGAGAAAGTTATAATGGATAACAGAGAAAAAAACTGGAGTCATAATCTGTCTAAAGAGCTTCTTGTACATAATTATAACAAATGCTACAAACTTTTACCAAAGCAATTTAGAAATCTGTTGAAATTTCCAGAAGAAACTTAAAATTTTCACAATGGAATTTCCAGTTGATTAAATTTCTATATAATTAAATAAGCTTACGCAAAAGATTGTCTTGTTTAGTAACTTCACAACTTTTTAACTTTCTAAAAGTAGAATCTCAACAGTTTAGAAATGAGGCATGCAAATTGACACTCAAGCCACATAGCTTGAGGCAACTGTTAGAGCTAATATTTATTGTGAAGCTGACACAGGATGATATTATCAGGACTTTGTTTAGCAAAGAGAAGATATTCAGGTAACACACTCTAAAGTTTGTTATGTATTATTTCTATTTTCTTTCCAAACAAGGATCCAAATATGAAAGGTCTGAAGATACTGCTAGAGTGTGTTGCCTTGAAATCCTCTTTGGGCAGCAGCAAAGTTCAGACTTTTTTCTCCCAATTTAATTAGACAAAAAGTTAGTAGATGGATAAGCAGAGTTTAAGAGTATATACATGGGCACACATATACACTGTTGTAATTTAACAACCAGAATAGTGTCAGTGTGCTGAGCATTTAATAAAGATTTGATGGGCAGACTTTTAGATGCTGAAGTATGGCTTTGTTATAAATCTAATGCACTTTTAAGTATTTTAAGCAGCCAAATATTTGCTTTTTATGTGGAAAATATTTATAAATGTCCTATCATGTCAAATTTTTATTCCCAAACTTACCATAAATATTTTGCTATAAATATCGATGAAAGTATATATACCTCAATTTCTGTAGCAAAAGATTTCACAAGAGCAGCTAAGAGTCAACTATTTTAATAACGATTATAGAATCTGCCCATTTAAAAAATAATTTTTGATTCACCATTGTTTTATCAGTTTCCAAAGACATAGCTCAAATTAAATCTTCCTAACTTGTTTTTGTCTTGAAGGCAATTAAGACAAAAATCACTAACAGTAAATTCCTGAGGTGAGGCATCTGCTTTTCAAGGTTTATTCCCTTAAAATTTACTTTCCCATTAGAGCTTTTTCCCAGGACCGTAACTAACTCCTCAATAGAAAAAGGGTTTTTTCATTTACCTAAAGAAGGTCATGCATTTTAAGGCATAAGAGCAGTTTATTTAAAACAGTAAATTCAGTACACTTATTCTTTTAATACCAAAATTAAAACATTCCATATTAGTACAATAAACAATTCTTTTGTGAAGACAGCATTTAACAATCATTTCATCTAACAAATCTTTTATTATTTTATTAACTTTATTTTATTAACAAATATTAACTTGGAAAAATGCATGACTTGAGATGAGTCACCAGTAAAGTGTAATTTCAAAAGCATTAGCTTTGAAATGTTCTAGACGTCCAGGGTCTCTTCTAGAATCCTATTACTCTGAGAGACTGACAACTCTTTTACTAAATACTTTAGAAGTTGGTGAAAAATGGAGGGAAATTGTATTAAAGTGACAGTCTTGTTATTAAAATGAAATAGGTTATTCCTAAAGAAAATGATTGGGGAAAATAAAATTAGTTTTTTTTTTTTTTTGACAGAGTCTCACTCTGTCACCCAGGTCAGAGTGCAGTGGCATCATCATAGTTCTCTGCAACCTCAAACTTCTGGGCTCAAGCGATCCTCCTGCCTCAGCTTCCCGAGTAGCTGGGACTACAGGTGTGTACCACCATACCTGGCTAATTTTTCTACATATATATATTTTTTGGTAGATATGGGGTCTCGCTATGTTGCCCAGGCTGGTCTCAAACTCCTTGCCTCAAGTTATCCTCCCACCTCGGCCTCCCAAAGTGGTAAGATTACAGGCATGAGCCACCGCGCCCAGCCAGTAAGTTAGTTTTAAAGTTATTTCTAATATTCACTTTTCCTAATGACACCAATATATCGCTATTTTGTTTAAAAACTGTAACTGTTTAAAGTGAACCCAAGCGCCATACTTTTATAGATTTACAATATTAAAGTTCAATCAGTAACTTAAGAAAAGACGTGTGCATATTAAAATAGGAGAAATCCTCCAAATTTTGCTACTATTATAACGTTGCTTTGAGATCATAATGAACTGTTTTAATTAAAGTTGCAAACGTTTCCGTTAGGCATTTATGGGGCACGTGGGGTGGGGCAAATTTGTCTCTGACAACCGCACAGCAGGCAGGAAGTAACAGTTTATAACACCGTGAAAGCTCCTGACGTGTCATAGGTGCTTCATAAAGTGCGGCCGCCTCTGCAAGTCTTAAGAAATGGATGACTCGTTCCCAAACCTTAGGCTTAACTCTAGTTGAGCGACAGGGGCATGTTACTAACAGAGGACGAATGAGTTACCAGAAACGAGCGAAAGAAAAAGAAGTCGGGCTGTGTCCTTCCTTTGGGGTCGAAGCAAAGTAACAGAAGCCACAAGTTTGGGGGCTTGGAGGTTAGCGGGATGCCGAGCCGGGTGGAGCCCCAACAGCGGGTCGCACAGGAGGCCGGCCAAGGCCGGGCGGCCTCGCGTCCACTTACCAGGCCAAGCCCAGGCACGTCCCCAGCGACAGGAGGCTCAGGCCCGTCCGGGGGTCCGCCCAGCCCCCGCCTCCGCCGCTCCGGACCTCGGGGCTCTTTCCGCCCTCGCTCCGCTTCTCAGGCTCCGCTGGGGCTCCCCTGGGCCCCGACTTCTTCCGGCTCTTCACCTCGGACATGTCTAGAGACCCTTAGGACTACACACCCGCGGCGGCTTCCTCACCCGGGGGGAGCGGGACGTGGCCGCCCTGGCGTCCTAGGGCAGCCTCGCCCGTGACCGCGCCCCCTCACAGACTTGGCGCCGCCCAGAAACCAACACTTTCCCTCTGCCGGCCATCCTCGCAGTTTCGCTACGCCTCTCAGCTATCCGCTTGCTAGGTCCTCCAGTTGCGGCGGGCGGCGACCCCACCACCCGCTTCCTCTGCGAAATTGCCGCAAACCCGAGGAAATTGAAACTCCCGGGCGCGCGCAGGCCGCCGGGACCCGCGCCGGCGGGGCGGGGCGGGGCCGCGCGCGCCACGTCGAGCGCGCCGCCGCCCGGCCCTCCCCTCGCAGGAACGCGGCGCGGCCCTATGGTGTAGCCACGTCCCCGCCGCGGGGTGGGCGGGCGCTTCCCCTTGCGCGCGCGGGCACAAGCCAGGGCGGGAGCGCGCGGCGGCGTCCGCCCCAAGGGGCTCGGGGTGTATTCATTTGCATGCGCGGGCGTGCGCTGTCCGGGCTGGGCGGGCTGGGCGCTGTTTGACTGCTCCGCGGTCCCGAGGCGGAGAGGAGGAGGTGACAAGTGGACGCTAATGTTTTATCCCTGGGCAGAAGCGGTGAGGGAGACGGAGGTGAGGCGGCTGGGCCGTCAGCGACCCGCCAAGACTTGAAGTAGCCGCGGCGGCGTCCGGAGTGGCGCTGGGCTCCCGCGGGGTGCAGCTGCGGCCGGGGAGGGAGTGCCGGGCGGAGCGGCCCGCCTCCCTTTGTGTCCAGGGCCAGGGGCCACCGGAGGGCGGCCCGCTGGCCGGGCCTGCCCTCGGCGCCCCGGACTGTGGGGTCTGGCTGCGGGGTGGACGCCCACCTCTCCGCCCTTCTGAGGTCCCCGGAGACCCAGGTGAGGCACTTGTGAGGCGGGGACCTGCCCTGGGGCACAGGGTACGTGGAGAACCTGAATTCCACGTCGAAAGCCACTTTGCCATTCCCCTCCACCCGCCTTGATTTTCCCAGTCTGTCCCCGCAGGGCTGCTCTTCCCGGTAGGACCTCGGTGCCAAGGTTTGGGTGAGTTTACCTCCTTGCTTTCATCCCCGAGCCAGGTTCCTTGGAGGCTCAGTAGCAGATTTCAGGGACTGAGAATTCGGGGACATGGAATATTTGATAACCATCCTGCTCCTATACCAGGAAGAGAAATTGAACGAGGAAGTAGTAAACTATTACGGTTTTCTTGGATAAACTTACACTGTATTTGGTATTTTACATCTATGAAGAGTTTTGGCTTTCCATTTTGATGTGGTTACAAAAGGTGGGACACTTTTAGAATTTATTCAGAATACTTCATTTTGTACAGAGTTCTAAAACATTTAAAATTTACACATTTAAATTGAATAGGGCTAGGTAAAATTGGAAATTAGTTTCAGAAGGCCAGAGAGTGTCCATTTGCTTAGCAATTACTGGATATAACCTAAAATCATTTTTGTTTTGTCAACTAGAATTTCATTACTATAAATTGAGGAAGGTTTTATGTTTAACAGAATAAAAAAGTTATTAACACTTAAAAATATGATACCCTTGATTCTAATCATAACTTGTGTCAGTTGGTTTCATGCCAGTACTGGGCATTTTGTGAATTTAAAAAATAAATTTTTTTTTTTTTTTTTTTTAGAGACAGAGTCTCACTCAGACCCCAGGCTGAAGCGCAGTGGCACAGTCATAGCTCATTATAGTCTGGGACTCCTGGGCTCAAGTGATCCCCCTGCCTCAGCCTCCCAAGTAGCTGGGACTACAGGCACATGCCACCAATGCCTGGCTAATTTTTTTACTTTTTGTAGTGCTGAGATTATAGGTGTAAGCCACTGTGTCCAGCCTTAATCTTGACATACATAGGCAAATGCCCTACTTCCCTAATTTTGCAAGTACTGCATTTGTTAACTTTTCAAAAACATGGTCATTGTTGGAGCTTAATAATTATTGTGCCTCTTCTATGAGTTTCAGATTACTTGTGCCTTTCTCTATTTTTGCATTTTGGACATTCACATTCTAATTATGTTTTTCTTTTACTAGATTGTGAATTCTTTCAGAGATATTACCTAATCTTCTCTGTAGTCTCAGTGCTTGGCACCTGAGGGGCTCAAATGTGTAATGAATGAATAAATTAATAAGCCCATTTAGATAGTCTTTCATTGTATAGGTGGATGGAGTTCTGTTATTGTTTTAAAAACTTGCAGGCATTCTGAACTGGGTTTTATACCCATGGAAAAATTTGCATTATGTTTGAAATAAAGTTGGTAGAAACTTAAAGTATTTTACTGTAAAGGATATTATTCTTTCTTTGTGTCTTCTTTTTTTTTTTTTTTTTTTTTGAGACAGAGTCTCACTTTGTTGCCCTGGCTAGAGTGAGTGCCGTGGCATTGGCCTAGCTCACAGCAACCTCAAACTCCTGGGCTCAAGCGATCCTCCTCCTGCCTCAGCCTCCCGAGTAGCTGGGACTACAGGCATGTGCCACCATGCCCGGCTAATTTTTTCTATATATTTTTAGTTGTCCAGATAATTTCTTTGTATTTCTTTTTTTTTTTAGTAGAGACGGGGTCTCCCTCTTGCTCAGGCTGGTCTTGAACTCCTGAGCTCAAACAATCCGCCCTCCTCGGCCTCCCAGAGTGCTAGGAGTACAGGCATGAGCCACCGTGCCTGGCCCTCTTTGTGTCTTCTTAATCCAGGAAATGACATCAGAGAGTATTTCTTGTGCTTTGTGAGAAATGTGTTTACCAATGAAGACCTAGAGCTGACACTTGCCTTGAGCAAGAACTAATACTCAGTATCAGCAATGCTCTATTCAGTCATGTTGGATAAAGAAAAAAAGTTTCTAAATATTAGGACTTCAGTATGATCACTATTTTATAAAGTCTTAATTTTAAAAGGAAGTATTGGCTGGGCACAGTGGCTCACGGCTGTAATCACTTTGGACAGCAGAGGTGGGACTATTGCTTGAGGCCAGGAGTTAAAGACCAGTTTGGGCAAAATGGCGAGACCCCACCTCTGAAAAAAAAATTAGCCCGGCATGGTGACATGTGCTTGGAGTCCTAGCTACTTGGGAAGCTGAGGCAGGAGGATCACTTGCGTCCAGGAATTCAAGACTGCAGTGAGCTATGATTGTGCCATTGCACTCTAACCTGGGTGACAGAGAGAGACCCTATCTCAAAAAAGAGAAGTATTTTTACCGTAAAAAACAATAATGTGTATTAAAAAAATTAAGACAATATAGAAAAGTACAAAAAAGGAAAATCCCAAATCTCGCTATTCATAAGTAACCCAACCGTTTTGATGAATAAACTTCTAAACGTCTCTCTGTATATTTATGGGATAAAAACACATGTTTTATGTTATGTTATATATAGGATCACATTTCTATTTTTTCAGTTGGCAATGTTTATCTTTTCCATGTCAGTACATAGAGATATGTGTTTTATAATTTTAAATGGCTGTATAATATTCCATTTTATATACATACCCTTTTTTAATCCATATTTAGAATGTTGGACATTTAGGTTGTGTTCATTTTTTTTCTCACTTGAACACTCTCTGTTAACTCTTTTTTGTGGAAATTTTTGCATACATTTGTGAATGTCTCCTTGAGGTAAATTCCCAGAAGTTGGATTTCTGGGTTGAGGATATTGCTTATTTTAAGCACTTCTGTATCTTATACTACCTGCCAGAAGAGTTGCATCCATTTTGTACTCTCCTCAAATAGTGTGTAAGAATGCCCATTTTTTCCTCATACCTTTCAAAGCATTGGGTTTTGTCCATTTAAAAAAGTATTTGCAAAAAAAAAAAAAAAAATCAGTCTTCTTTCTTTACATTTCTTGATTACCAGAGAAGTTACACATCTTTTCATGTGTTTATTGGCTTGACAAATATTTTGGTGCTTTATCTGTAGCTCATGGTTGACAGCTCAGACAGAGAAAAATTTGAGGGAGGATGGATGCAAAATCTCGGAATTGTTTGCTTCAACATAAAGAAGCTCTGGAAAAGGACATCAAGACACCCTACATCATGGATCACATGGTTGGTGATGGAATTTTAACAACACTGGAGGAGGAAGAAGTAAGAAATGAGGTAAAGCCCTCTGAGGCAGTATTTGTAGAATTTGAGAACTTGCATTGGTCTCTACTAATTTATGTCACAAACATTCATTATTGTATACTAAACTACTTGATTTTTTTTTAGCCTACTCAACAGAAAAGAGCAGCTTTGCTAATTAAAATGATACTTAAAAAAGATAATTATTGCTACATATCATTCTATAATGCTCTACTACTTGAAGGATATAAAGATCTTGCTGCCCTTCTCCAAGATGGCATTCCTGTTGTCTCTTCTTCCAGTGACAAAGATTCAGTTGGTGGAATAACTACATATGGTTTGTATCCATGATGCCTTCTATCGCATTGCTATCACAATGGTTACATTGCTGCAGGTTTTTCTTATTGTAGATGTAATCTTCTGAAGATAGTGTGATCAGTTCACTGAAAAATACCCGTGAAAAAATTGTAGTAATGCTTTCAATTTAAATATTATTATTTCTTATTTGCATCCATGTTAACTTCACATTTTCTTCTTGCCCAGTGAACTGTTTATTGCTGAGATAATAATATGTGTACCCTAATTTTTAGATATAATGAGATCTTTAGTTATGTTTGCTGTGTGTTTATTGAATTTCCAGGAAAGAATAAGAATCTATAGAAATCTATGTTCTTGAAAGGAATTCCATAAACATTTTTCCCTTTATACTCTTCTTCCTAGTCTTCAATATGAGAAGAAGACTGGAGAGTCCAAGAGTAATACGATGAGTAAGAGCAGGTATAGATGGAGACTTCCATTGTTCATAGTCATCTTGAAGGGGATGTGTTTGCTTTTTCTCTTTGTGTTCTGAGAAATCAGAAAGTTGAAGTTAACACACTAGCCAGATTTTCTTACTTTTTTTGGAAATTCTGAGGCTAAGCCTCAGCCATGCTCTCTTTGGTTTTTTTGGTGTTACCCGAGTAACCATTTCACAGTTCTATTCATTCATGCTTATTTTGGGTTTCAGTAAGGACAGTTCTATGTGAAGGTGGAGTACCACAGAGGCCAGTCGTTTTTGTTACTAGAAAGAAGCTGGTGAATGCAATTCAGCAGAAGCTCTTCAGATTGAATGGTGAACCTGGATGGGTCACCATATATGGAATGGCAGGCTGTGGGAAGTCTGTATTAGCTGCAGAAGCTGTTCGAGATCATTCTCTCTTAGAAGGTAAGTGTCTTAGTCTGTTTCATAGTCTGGTAGGATAGACATGTAAACAAATTATGATGTATGTGATAAATTGAACAGTAGAAGTAAGTATAAGGTACAAAGTTAGAACAAAGGAGGGGTGTGTTAACTCTCTGGAGGAAGAGGCTGGACAGGGTGAGCTTCCTGAATGAGATGACATTCTTGCTGGAGTTTGGAGAAAATAAAAGTTTGCCAGGCAGACTATGTAGGGATGGGAGAAGAGGGAGGTAGGAAGGGTAGTGGGTGGTTACTAGAGTGGGAAAGGGCACAGTGGGCCCAAGAGGGCTTGAGACACGTTTGGCAGGTGTATCACTGACCTTCTCAATGAGTCTGGTAGGTTCTTAAGATATTCATCAGGAATAGTTGTGTAGCTGCATCACTTTTTGGTTGCCTCCATTAATTAGTGAGTTCTGTCTGCATAACACTTCTAGAGGAATTCAAAAACAGTTCCTGACTTCTAGTATACAAGACATAATCAGCAGTTTAGATGACAAAATGAATGGGATAAGTTGTAAGCCTCTAAGAGATTTAGCAAGATGGAGGCTAGGGCATGTTTGTTGTACACACATGGTTTTCGTTTATATGTCATAACCTTTGTTAGTAACATTGATTCTACTCTTGTCAGAAGGATGTTCAATTCCTAACCCTTGTTTTTTTCCCTCTGTTATTATGGAGAAGTTTCCTGGGACTTAGCTCCTTGCAAGTCTTGGAGCCAAGATTTTTTTTAACCTCTACTGCAAAGTTGATCACAAGATATTTCAGGATAAAATTGGCTTAAGTTTCTTTAGTGTGAAGAAATAAGTTTTCCTTTCAATATTGTAATGAAATTTCTTTAAAATACATGTTTATAATATACCAATTTATAGGATTAAAAGAATGCCCCCCATTTAAATTGTTCTACATTATTTTGTGATTAATGTTCAATCTTAGGGATTAAAATTGACCAACAACTTACATAATTAAACACTTAGGAGTCATATTGTATAAATTGTTATCTTGGAACAGATTTTAACTATTTTGTTTTGAGAAAATCCCAGAAATACTAGTAACTGTCCAGGACATGTGAATTTAATTTATATCCCTCATACTTCTGTGGGATATCAAGTTCAGAGATTTAGTTAATCAATATTCTTTAGTTCCCAGCTCATTATCATAGTAGCCTTGGCTTCTTACCATATTTATTTGTTTATTTTCAAAATTTCCCATTTTCATTTCCTTTTCCTTTCCCAGAAGACAGTCCTTCTAATATAATTAATATATGTTCCTTGTAAATATCTGCGAATGTATGTGTTCTTATAAAATGTATATGTTTGTATGCAAATATTTTGTTTGCACAGATGTCGTGGTGTTAAATATTTTATTCTGTTTTTTTATCTCCCGTTACACTATCTTTTTAATATTTATCCTTGTTACTATGTATACATATTATTTGTTATACCCAATTGCTACTCAGTGCATCCAACATGTTTTACTGGCCTTTGCCCTAAGTCCATAGATGTGTAGATTGTCTCCAGCTCTGCTGCTCTAGCAAAGGTGGGTTGAACTCTTATAGGAGTGAGAATTTCTTCAGTATGTGTAGCCAGGAACAGAATTGCTAAATTAGAGGATATACAAATGTCAAATTTGATTGCCTTCCAGTCTTGCATTTCCACCAGCAGGGTAGAGGGACTCCTATATTCTCACTTTCCCAATGACGCTTGATGTGATCCAGTTTTGTAATTTTTACTAGGCCAGCCAGTATAAAGTGATATCTTTTAATTTGCACTTCTCTGATAACTCAGGTTTGAACATTTCCTCATAAACTTGTTAGCCTTTTGGGTTTCCTTTTTTTAATAAATTTTGTTTATATTAATATGGTTTTTTTTTCCATTGGGATTTCCTTCTTGTTGGTTTTTAGGAGTTTCTTGTATATGTTAGATATTAGAGTTTGTTGTTTTAGATATTAGACTTTGTTGATTTTAGACTTTGTAAATACCTTATCCTAATTTACCATCTGTATTAACTTTGTCCTGGATGTTCACAGTAGGGGAGTAATCTTTAATTCTGATGTCAAATTAATCAATTTTTTTACGTTCTAATTTGTTCTTCCTGAGTTTTGTACAAGTAGTCCTATTATAGCCTTACTGTTCATATTTAGCTCTTTAATCTCTGGAGTCTGCGTTTGTATGTCCACTAGCTCAAGAGTACATGCTTTCCCAAAGATAAATTTTAATTCCTGGAATTTCATTTCCAGAATTTTTTTTTTTTTTTTGCTGTTTAATTGTAGCACAAAACCTTTTTCTTTAAAAATGCAGATAATGTAAGGGTTACAGACGATTAAAACTGGTTCCTATAGATTTTGTCTTAGGGTGGTGGTTGGTATAAAGAATATTAAGTTCTTTACTATTTATATCTATACATTTTTAAGTAACCCAGCTTACTTTTGAAAGCTCAACCCTTAATTTTTTTCTTATTTGCAGGGAAATTGTAAAGCATTGACATATCCTTAAACCATTTACACTATTGTGTTTATATGCTGACTTGTTAAAGCACGAAAGCATTCTATGAAGGCTGTCTACCTATTTGTTTCTGTCATTCCCAAGATTTCTTTGGTGCTATTAGATTACTAATTGCTACCATCATAAGCCTCATGTGAAAGTAGGGTGGAGTTAGTTTTCTCTGAATAAAGGCAATTTTTCTCTGAATAAGTTTCTCTGAATGAATTATAAGTGCAGCTTCATTTGAGGCTAAATTGCTCCCTCTTGTGCCCATCCACAGTCAAAATGTTTTGATTCTTTTAAGAAATGTGTAATTAATGATTCAGTATTTAACTAAATGTCATATTGTGATGGTAGCAGATTTGCGGATCAGATGGTCATTTGGTCTGTTTGTCTTTTTTTCTTAAAAGCAAGTGTGTTTTTCTTGCTTTTCTTGCATGTGTTTATATACTCTAATTTTAAGCTTTAAGAAAGAAAGGCCTTTGACCTAGGAATAGGTACTTACATTATATTATAATGTCAAAGAGTTTACTAGGTAGCTACATCAGGATACTTTCTTTGCCTTGTCTTTAACTCTAGGATGATTTTTAAATGGTACAGATTAAAAAAAAACTTAAGGCAACAAGTAGTTTACACCTTTTTTTTGGTGTGTAAATATTACAAAAGTAGTATTTTCATCTAAAAAGAAGTAAAAGTTCTTTTCACTTGCCTTTCTTTCCTTTCTCCTAAATTCGAAATCCTACCCCAGAGATAATTTTGATTAATAGTTTGGACTGAATTTTTCCAAACTTTATTCTGTGCATTTACAAATATGCACACACACAGAGCACAGATATAACATTAAGTGAAGCCTCAGGGATTTGCTGTTTCATAACTATTAATGTACATTGAAGGAGGCCTGAGGGAACTTCAGGAAGCTTTTGGAGTAAAGCCATAGGACTTGTCTACCTTCTTCTAAGACACTGGCACTGATAATCAAATCAGGTTTCACAGCCCTGTTTCTCTACTTCAGTTACTGCAGAGTTCTGTCTCTTGGTCATTTATTATATTTTAGATTCTCACGCAGTCACTACTCAGTACATTGCGAAATTCTGGTCTAGGTCTTCTCCTCTCATTCCCATTCTTTTCTGCCGTACGCTCTAGGCCTCCTCTGGAGGAAACTTTTCTATATGATCAGCCTATTAGAGTGTTCACCTCATTACCTTATCTGAAACTGGGCAGTTTCCTGAAGATACTGTTTTCTCCATAGCCACCTTCAAAAAGTGGTCCCACATACTTCAGCACTGGGAAATGGGTGGGTGTTGCCCTTGCTTTCTGTTGCCTCATCCAGCCCATTCATACTCCCTTCTCCAGGTGAGTTCTTTGAAGTTCATTTCTCTAATCTTTTCCAGTGGTGTCATCATTCTCTCATTCATTGACGATTGGAGTTCTTAGCTTATAACCTGCCTCTAACGCCCTTTTTCTGTTGGCATTCTTAGTGATTTTGATATCTATGTGGATGAGTCATCCTGAGTTTTGGCCTCTTGGTTCCTTGACCTTTTTGTCTCCCGTGACCATTTTCTTCACTTCCCTTTAGCCATATACTTCCTGGTCACCAAGTGGAGCCTGCTCCTTGTCATTACTAGAACTATAGCACTATTGGAATCTTAATACTAAACATTTGATTCTATTCTTTGCCCACCTCCAGCCATTCTGTTCTTTAAGCTTATTGCTGTAGTTAGACCTACCAAGGCTTCTCATTCACTGATTCCATAATATCATCGCTATCCTGTAAGTGCCCCCCTAGATTTGGGCCTAGATTTTATTGTCCATCATTAAGTCACTCCTAAGCACACACATACTCTTCACTCTTTAGTTGTCTACTTTTCTGGGGTGAAAGCTGATTCCTTTTTCTCTATGCTGAGAGATGGAGTAAGTATTTCCTCTTGTTCCCCGTTGGCTTCATTCAGACCATTACTTCCTCTTCTCTGGGGAAAAGAGTTCCAATTTAAATTGAAGATCATAAGCTTCGACAATTTTATTGGGTTTATTTAGTTGCTATTAATATAACCATTGCATTGGGGTTTGTAGGGTGTAATAAAAAAACAACCGTACTCTTTTTCCTCATTGACTGTCAAACTTCTCCTCGAGACTGATCCTTTCCTTGATCTTTTTATAGGTTCAAAATCCCCACATCACTTCAAGTTATAAAAAGTCTAATTAAAATGTCAAATTGTGTTTAATACTCCAGACTTCATTCATATAAAGCTTCTTCATTCCTCTGTTGGGCCTGCCTCAGACTTGGGAATCCTGCAGTGGGGCAGTAGGTTAAGATGGACATTGCAGGTTGTTTCCAGCTTTTCCCTGTGGCAAACAGTTTTGCAGTGAATATCCTTGAGAGGCAGAATAGTGTAGAAAATTGAGCACTGATGCTGAAGGTTTGAATCCCAGCTTTGCTTTATTAGCTGTGTTACCTTGGACAAATTACTCAGCCTTTCTCTATCTCAGTTTCTTTATCTTCAAAATGGAGGTAATACTAGTGTCTGCTTGTTAGTATACTATAGTATTAAATGAATTAACACATGTAGAAATGTCAGAATAGTGCTCAATAAATATCTGTCCTTAATCTTTGTGCTTATATACAAACGTTTCTTTTGGATAATTAAGTTTTTAAAATAGTGATTTATATTTGTATTTAATTATTTGTGAATACCAGTGAATAAATTGCCCAGTGAGTGTAATTTAACTCGTTTATCTTTGTGTCTATTTTTTGCTTTTTTTATACTGTTAAGATCACGTAATACAAATATGGTTAATGCCACTGGTACGATCTAATGTTACTGTCTACCATATTTACACATAGGAACCCCTCATATTTTTTATGTATGTGGAACTGATTAAGTATAGTCTGTGAAGACTTAAGTTTTAGCTCCTGATACATATGTAAATAAAATACATATTTTAAGATGTATTACGGCTTAATTAACGGTGATGATGATAACAGTAGTAATAATGGCCACCTTTGTAAGTGCTTACGAGTTCAAAGCTTAATATTTGTGAAGTGCTCTCTGATCCATAACACTAATATCTTCTCTGTTGTAACCTTTAGAGTTAATACAATTTCATATATTTTATATCATTAATTTCTCATAGCAGTTCTGAAATAGGTGGGGTAGACAGTCTTGTTTCAGTATAATAAATGAGACTGAGGTGAAGTGATTTGCTGAAGAGTGCTTAGCAATTAAGAAGTAGAACCAGACTTGAATCTAACTTCTTATTTTAAGTCTGTATAAAAAATTCATGAGTGAGTTATGTGTTCTAGGACATCAGTGGTTCTGAACCAGGGGCGATTTTGCCCCCCAGTGGACATTTGACAATGTTTGGAGACTTTTTTGGTTGTCAGTACTGGTAAGGGGAAATCCTACTGGCATCTAGTAGATTGAGGCTAGGGAGGCTGTTAAACAGCCTATCATGCACAGGGCATTCCCTCACAACAAAGAATTATCAGCCCAAAAAGTCAAGAGCTCTGAGGTTCAGAAACTGTGCTGTGCAGTGAGCATTGATGATGTAGGACAAAGATGGTGAAATTTTGCTTGGTAGGATTTTCCTGATGAGCTGCAGATTTACTCCAAACTTCAGTTTCTTCACATCTTTAACTTCTCTTAGATTCAGGCTATAAAGCTTAACAATAATCTACACACAGTTTATAGCCTGAATCAAGAGGAGTTGAAGATGGAATGGGATTGAAGTAAATCTGATGCTTAAGAGTAAAATCATCAAAGGAGGACTCCTGTTCAAGGGCCTTAAGTTTACATTCTTTTCCTCACTAGATTGCTTCCCAAGTGGTGTGCATTGGGTTTCAGTTGGGAAACAAGACAAATCTGGGCTTCTGATGAAACTGCAGAATCTTTGCGCACGGTTGGATCAGGATGAGAGTTTTTCCCAGAGGCTTCCACTTAATATTGAAGAGGCTAAAGATCGTCTCCGCATTCTGATGCTTCGCAAGTACCCAAGGTACAAGTGGTCAAATTTCGTTGGTGTATGAAGTCCCAATGAGACTTAACTACTGACATCTTGAGAACATCATGCCTTTTTTCTGCTGTTCCTTAGAGGGGTTTAGAAAGAAACATGTGTTTAGAAAGAACCATTGCTTTCCTACTTCTCTCTTTTTTATTTTTTAATAAAGTGACTGCCATCTGGCCTAAAATAGCCACTTTTCCCTTCTTTGCTTTCTACCTACCACATTGTCTCTCACGTACCATTGTAGGCTCTCAAGAAATGTCTTAAGTAGGTGAGTTGGTGAGTGGGCTTTGCTCGGAAGTGCAAACTTCTTTCAATCCATTATTTCTAATAGATTAATATAGAATAAGAGAGAATAAATGCAGGCAACTGATAAAAGTCAGGAAGGATTTTTAATGGGACCTCCTTCTGTTGGGTTGTCTTAGTTTTTATGTATTTATTTTTTCATGTGTACCAGAATGAGAGTTGTCTTAGGTTTTAGAGGTATACATGTAACTCTTCTACTTCCGTGTACATCAAGAGTGAGTTTCTTTTGTTTGTTCTTCCAGTAATTAATTAATTTATTCATTCATTGAATACTTACCATTATAATTATGTGCCAGGTATTGTTATCAACTGTTTCACAGTTTTCGTTAGCCAAAAGGGAGATAGCAGCTTAGTTCTTTGTGTTAAGAGTATATAATAACCTGCGATTCAGCCAACAATGTGATATCTGTGATCTAGCAGCCATTCTTTCATTTGTTCATTTAACTAACATCGAGTGTCATACCAGGTTCTGGGCCAAGTGCCACAAGTACAAAGATGAATGAAGCATGCCTTGGGAATGTTACAGTATATTGAGTGAGAATTGGGTAGTGGCTCTGAGCTTTCTTTTAATGCCCTAGTGTACCTAAGGATGCAGTATACTTTCATATGTAACAGTGGCTGAATATGGTAGTGATTCTCAAATTGGTAAGGGGATTAATATCAGAATATAGGGTGAGAAGAGTATTTTTTTTGGAAAAGCTTGCTAGGTAATTCTAATGCATACTCATTACAGAGGGCAAGCCTCTCTTTTCGCTTCCTATTTCTCCAGATCCCTCTGTCCTCTCCTTCCCTTGATAGTCACTGTTATCCATTTCCCTGGAGGAAATAGGATTGAAACCACTAACCATTCCCTCTTTAACTGCATAATAACTTTTACCTAGTCCTACTTTCCTTTTTTTGCCAAAATAAAGGTGACTTCTATTTAGGAAAATATGGCAGCCACTTTCAGTTGTATCAGACCTTGGCTTATAAAGAAGGCATTTTGTTTTTCAATATTATTAGGTTCATGCTTTTGCAATTTTTCAACCTGTGTGTGGGCCTAGAGTATTTTCTTTTTTTTTTTTTTTTTGGTGGTATACAAAAGTAGTGTGTCATTCAGATAAAAACACTGGTGTATAATTATGCTATCAGTTTTGTTTTGTTTTTAAGGCAGGGTCTCACTCTGTTGCCCAGGCTGGAGTGCAGTGGTATAATCTTAGCTCACTGCAGCCTTGAACTCCTGGGCTCAAGCAATCCTCCTGCTGCAGCCTCTTGAGTAGCTGGGACTATAGGCACATACCACCATGCCTGGCTAATTTTTTAAATTTCTGTAGAGATGTGGTCTCACTGTGTTGCCCAGCTTGGTCTCAAACTCTTGGCCTCAAGCAATCCTCCTGCCTCTGCCTCCCAAAGCACTGGAATTACAGCAGGTATGAGGCTGTCTTTAGGTTTTAATTGCATTTTCTCCCCATTTGTTCACCAGAGTTTAGAAAAGTTTTTATAGAGACAAATCAGGAATTGGCATAGAGGTTCTTTGTTATTATGAATAAGTAAATCGATGAAAATCCCACTAGTATACCAAATGTAAAGTATTACACTTGCTAGCACAATTCTATTGGGTTGAAACATGAAATTGCTGGTTTTATAAGTAAAAAGTGGTCACAGATCATCATTGTTACATGATTCATTCTAATGCTAACCTGAGCTCAGTTCCAGTTTGGTTTTGGTGCTTATAGACTGAGTTAGAAAATTCCCATTGCTTGGATAGTTCTTTATACACTAAGTAAGTGATGGCTGAACTAATGAATGCTTAATAGTTACATAGTTTATGCAGTCTTCTTTGTAAGACCTTTCATTTTAATTTTAATGTGTTCTGATTTGGGGTTTGAGGAGGGGGAGGTATCTAATTTTTTTCCTTATTTGAATCAGCATATTGAGAAAGGAGTATAGTAAAGAAAAGAGGAAGAATTGTGAACTAGCCATCTATCTGTTCTTTTTGTTTGTTTGTTTGGTAGATTTTGAAAGACATTGGTAGGATTATCTCTTTTTTTTTTTTTTTTTGAGACAGGGTCTCACTCTGTCACCCTGGCTAGAGGGCAGTGGCATTATCATAGCTCACTACAACTTCCAACTCCTGAGCTTAAGAGATCCTCCTGCCTCAGTTTCCCAAGTAGCCGGAACCATAGACACAAGCCATCACACCTGGCTGATTTTTCTATTTTTTGTAGTGGTAGGGTCTTATTCTTGCTCAGGCTGGTCTCAAACTCCTGACCTCAACCAATCAATCCTCCTGCCTCGGCCTCCCAAAGTGCTGGGATTACAGGTGTGAGCCACTGTACCCAGCCAGAAGTATCTTTTTTAAAGGAAGCTTAAAATAAATATCATTAATGATTCATTATGGTTTTTTTAAATTAGGTCTCTGTTGATCTTGGATGATGTTTGGGATCCTTGGGTGTTGAAAGCTTTTGATAATCAGTGTCAGATTCTTCTTACAACGAGAGACAAGAGTGTTACAGATTCAGTAATGGGTAAGGATTATTAATTTACTTTTTTAGCACCTTTGTATTTAATTCAATTACATTAAAATATGTGGAATACTAAATTGCTCACTTTGTCTTGTGATTTTGTTGCAGGTCCCAAATATGTAGTCCCTGTGGAGAGTGGCTTAGGAAAAGAAAAAGGACTTGAAATTTTATCCCTTTTTGTTAATGTGAAGAAAGCGGATTTGCCAGAACAAGCTCATAGTATTATAAAAGAATGTAAAGGTATGGTTATTTATTTTGTTATATGAGGGGGTTATAGGGATATTAATCCCTCTTTTATAAATTAAGCTAATGAATATGATAATTTATCACATGAACATCTAAAAACTTCTGGGATATTTAGAGTTTTAGGTTTTTCTCTGATACCTTAAATGGATGCATGATATTATGATAGTCATTTATTAAAATAATATTTAATATATACCCACAATATGTTCAGAGACCACATTAGTGAGAGGGGTGAGATAACGACATGACCTTTGCTGTCAAAGAGTAAAAAATATAGTGAGAGTCAGATTTAAATTTTTTTTTTGGTTGGGATTTTACAAAAATGATGTTCTAATCTAATAAGCAGAAATTGGTGTTGTCTTCTTTTTTTCTTTTTTTGAGACAGAGTCTCACTCTGTTGCCCTGGGCTAGAGTGCAGTAGCATCATCATAGCACACTGCAACCTCAAACTCCTGGGCTCAAGTGATTCTCCTGCCTCAGCCTCCTGAGTAGCTGGGACTGCATATGCAAGCCATCATACCCTGCTGATTTTTCTATTTTTTGTAGAAACAGGGGTCTTGCTCTTGCTCAGGCTGGTCTCAAACTCCTGATGTCAAGTGATCCTCCCCGCTCAGCCTCCCAAAGTGCTAGGATTATAGGAGTGAGCCACCATGCCTGGCCTGTCTTCTTAATCTACATTTTTTTATTAGTGAAGTTGAACTTTTT